GAATGTGAATAAATGTGAACATTGAATTAACCTATATGTATATTTATTTAAATTGTATTTATAAAATTTATGTAAAATTATGCATATATGTATATATGAATAAATAAAAGTAGGGCTAAGCTTAGTTACAATATAAAGCCAGTTATAATATAAAGAATATTTAATAAATATACAAACGTTTCGACGCCGATCGGGTCATTTTCAATGTAAACACAAACAATATTACATAAATTATCGGAATATTCGGTCAAATTATAATATCCAGTAAAAACGTCGGTTATTTCGTATTCGCTATTATGTGCAGTCCATATGTAAAGGCATAACTTGAATGATGTAAAGGTGATCTCATCTCACTTTTCAAAATTCTACAATCTTGATTTATCGTGATAATGTAAGTCAGACGTTGAGAGGAAAATGCAAAATTAACTAAGTCTAAGTTTATTATACACGGTGGGCCATTTTAATCTCCCCACCTGAATTTCTCGAAATCTAAGCCAGATAGAGAAAAATGGTCCAAACAAAAGTTGAAGGGGACAGAGGGGGTCACCTAATGGTACCAAGGACCTTGACCTTGAATTCGATTTTCAAGGTTATTTCAAGGTCAAAGTGATTTTTTAAAATGGGAACACCTATTTTTGATCCCGGATTTGAAAAGAGCGGGAAATTTTACGTTCATAATGATATGTTTATCAAGATCATGGCAAGGTCGAACGAAGGTCAAATTTGCGAATTTAAACTCCTCACTTACATTTTCCGGAACGAAAGCCAAATACGTAAAATTGATTCAGACAAATGTTAAAGGGGACCGAGGGGGTCATCTATCTGTACTCTGCAGTAGTGAAATACGATACTTAGATTCCGGAATATTCAATTGGGAAATCAAAATTCGCAAACTTGACCTTCATTCGACCTTGCCATGATCTTAATAAACATATCATTTTGAACGTAAAATTTCCCGCTCTTTTCGAATCCGTGGTCAAAAATATTTAAATGTTCCCATTTAAAAAAAATCACTTTGACCTTGAAATAACCTTGAAAATCGAGTTCAAGGTCAAGGTCCTTGGCACCATTAGGTGACCCCCTCTGTCACCTTCAACTTTTGTCTGGACCATTTTTCTCTATCTCGCTTAGATTCCGAGAAAGTCAGGTGGGGAGATTAAAATGGCCCACCGTGTATTGTGACGTGACGTTTTTCACCGTCCGTCACAAGGGTCGTTCGACCCTACCGAAGTAGCGCGGCAAATTTGTCCTGTGTCCTACCGACGCGGAGGGCGGGCGTGCCGACGCTTGTTGCGATTTTCGGGCGAGAATTTGGAGATTTTTGTCGTCGCGTTTCACGTAACCTTACTATTTCTTTTTGTAAATTTGTCTAGGAATTTTTAGTATCGGCGGCTGCGGTAGGTAATTTAATGTGCGACACATTCCACCACCTCAAGGAGGCGGCCAAGAAAAAGATAGAAGACCATATTGGAGGTCCGAGGCCATCCGGAGGAGGGGGTAGCGCACAGGTGATACCGTTCCATACTGTCAAATTAGCGCCCTGAGCGAAACGTGTTTTGCTGAAGCCAAATTCTTTACAGGCGACTATGCTGCGGGAGCGACAAAGACGGCGTGAGGGGATTGTCACCCTCTGCCACAGAACGAGCGAGGGATCCCGC